TATTGGCTGACTCCTATACATCCCCTACTGGGGATCAGCATGTGCCCTGACCAGGAATTGAACTGGCAACTTTTTGGTGCAGGGGATGACGCCCAACCAATTGAGCCACACCAACCAGGCCTCCCTTTAAGTTTTTTGACCAGCTTTTTGTTTTCCTCTGCTGGTATCAGCACCTTAGGCAGCTGCAATATTAAGTCTTTGCTGCTGATTATTTTTGATCCTAGAGATAAAACTTTCATGACTGAATGAGCTCTAAGTCAGGTCAAATAACAGCAAACCCTGCACATGGGGCTTTCCCAGGGAGCTGTCAGACAGGTCAAGTAATGCCAGTTCTCTGGAGATGGGCCTTTTGAGGCATTCCAAACCCAGTCTTCCCCTTCCTTTGACAGCTAGGCTGCTGGTTTCCATGGCTATCAGAGACCCGGAAGAGGCTGATGGCAACAGGGGGAGTTTAAATGCCACAAAGCTCTGTGTTTTTACTGAGATTCGGATGGTTTTCTTAAATAAATACTCTAAAGATTATTGCTGCCTTTGGTTAATTTTCAGAGTTTGGAAAAAGTTGATCTCTACAATTTTTGCTAGTGTTCTTGTTGCTTTTGTGAAGTAGTAGATTTTCAGGGGTTACTCAGTTATCCCAGAAGTCCCACCTTGTTTTAAACATCAAAAAAGGTTTTCATTTTATTTTACTCAAGGCCCAGTGTAAGATTTACTAGCCTCTTACCTATGATATTCCATTGTATGAATATGCCACAATTTATCCATTCTACCTATGTGGACATTTGAATTGCATTCAGTTTGGGGCTGTCACATTTTATTCTTGCACATATATTTTGAGAACATTCCTGTTAGATATATACCTAGAAATGGATTTCCTTGCTCAAATGTTTTATGAATGTTGAGTGTTAATGGATACAGTTTTTAAAGTTGTTACACTACCAGATTATATCCCACAGCAGTGTATAAGAGTTCTATTTACTTTATATCCTTGCCATATTTGGTATCATTCAGCTTTTTCGCTTTAATCATTCTGTTGCATGTATAGAGGTTTTACAGTAATATAAGTTTAATTTGCAATTAATGCATTTGGCCAGTTTTCATAGGACTATTTTTTTCTTACGAATTTATAGGAATTTTTCATGTATTCTGTATACCAATATATTCTATAAAGGTTTGCAAATGTCTCCTCCCACTCTGAAACTTCCTTTTCCCCTCTTTAAATGGTGGTGTTGGGTAAAGAAAAGTTGTCGATTTTAATGTAGTTTAATCTATCCAGATTTTTGCTTTGTGTTTAGTACTTTTTGGATCCCGTTAAAAATCCTTATTGGTCAAAAAAAAATTTTAAATGCAATCAATTGATTTAACATTTTCTGCAAAAATTTTTTAAAGACCTATTATTTAGGCAGAACACTTGAGTCTATCTTGAAGAATACCAGTGTTTCCCAAAGAGTGTATTATACAAATGATTGCCCTCTCTAATTCACAAAAACATCCACAAAACATCAAGCCTGATATAATTCTATTCCAGAAGATCTTTTGTTCTTTCCTATCAAACCCAGCAATTCCGCTGAGTGTATTTCATATCCCATTTGTTTCTAATCACCCTGTCTTCTATTTTCAGAGATAATAGAGTCCATTAGATGTGAAGCCCTCTAACTTTCTGCTTCCCGCTTCTATCCCACAAAGTATAACCTCATCTATATTTATTTCTTCTCCCGTTTCAGTTGAAGATGTTTTGTAAAGTAGGTCTATCCCATCTTAAAAAAACATAATAAAAATTTATTCTCTAAGTCCATCTAATTATTGCCATCTCTATCATTCCTTTAAAAAAAAAAGTTTTGCCCAGCCAGTGTGGCTCACTGAATTAGGTGTCATCCCATGGACTGAGAGGTCCTGGTTCGATTCCCAGTCAGGGCATGAGCACAGGTGGCGTCCCCAGTTAGGGGGCGGGCAGGCGGCAGCTGATTGATGTTTTTCTCTCACATCGATATTTCTCTCTCTCTCTAAAACAAACAAACAAACAAACAAACAAACAAAAAGCATGAAATCTAAATAGGGTGGATGAATTGTATCAAGTTCATTTTCCTGGTTGTGATATTGTACTATAGTTGTGCAAGATGTTGCCTTTGGGGAAACTGGGTGAAGGGTATACTGAGTTTCTCTATGCTATTTCTCACAACTGTATGTGAATCATCTCAAAATAAAAAAATGAAAGCAAAAGTCTTTCTAAAAATTATCCATAATAATAATTACCATTTATTGAGTGCTTACTGCATGCTAGCACTGGTAGGTGGATACTGTCGTTAACCTCATGTTACAAATGACAAAACTGAGGCACAGAGAGGTTAACCCACTTACACAGGGTCACCCAGCATGTAAGTAGCAGAACTTGCATTAGGATCTAGGTAGCCTCACTCCAAAGAGAGAGCTGTTAACCACCCTGCCGTACTCCCTGTACATCTGTCTTCAGATCCTACCTCCTGCTCACACTTCAACCCAGCTCTGTGCTTGCACTCCCATCCCCATCACTCCCTTGAAACGGCTTTTGCCTGAATCACCAACAAGGCTGTTGCTAAAGCTAATGGATTCTTTCGGGCCTAACCATTCTTTCTGCAGCCTCTGATATTGTTCATACATTCAACAAGTATTTATTGAGCACCTACAATGTGTCAGACTATCGTTTTACAGCAGCAAACCAGGTAGGCAGAACTGTTGTAATTGATGAATGCCTGTGTCTTTACTGTTACTATTAGGGGTCAGGAAACTCCAGTTACTATTGACTTGTTTGTGGATGGCCACCTTATTTTCCCATGCTTTTGTTTTTCTGTGGCTAAAACACATCATATCGATATTTTTTTTGTGGTTTCACAACATAACTCAAAACATACTATATTTAAATACCATTTTCACTTTTCTCCAGATAGAAATCTAAACCTTTCCAGTTGTCTTGAATATGAGTAAATTAAAATAACCGAGTCTGAAGAGTACTACCCTTCCTATAGAATTAGTAATAATAAATTGTGAAAATTGTCTTTGACCTTTTTACCTCCTTTTTTCTGTCTAAGAATAATTCGGATTACTTTTATGCCCCTTATTTGGAAACACCAGGAAGATCTCTGCAGAATATTAAAGTCTCATTCCATATGTCCAAATAAAAAGCTATTCCAAGGAAAATACTTGACTTCATGGAGACCTGATGCTAGCTTTTTTGCGAATCGCTGAAGCTGAGCACATGAGCCTGCATTGAAGGAAAGGGGTTATCTTGTCTCTTTCCACGTCCATTGTTATTTTCTGTGTTGTCTTTCCTTTCCCCGTCAGTAAAGAAGAAACAAAAAATCCTCTCCTACTTCTTCATGCCAAAAACCAGCTCTTGTTTTATTAGTTCTAATAGGAATGTGTTTTTGCTTGATTAGAAGCAACTAGAGTCCTCCTGCTTCCATCCAGTGTTACTGTTTTTGTCTGATATGATTGTTTACAGCAGCAGTTAGCAATTTGCATGGACAGTGCTGTCAAAGTCGCTGCCCTCAGTGGAGCCCAAATGGCTCTTGGAAGAAAGATGACAGATTCAGCCCAGCAGCTTGCAAAACTTGAAAAGCGATTCCTTGTCAAACACGTGAAAAACAACCCTTCCCTCTCCATGACTTGAGGGAAAAAATGAGAAACTAGCTTACGCCAGATGGTGATTCCTTGCTAGTAAAATAGGCCTGGGCTGATTCAGCCCCATTCCTTTATGTTCTTTTTGCAAAACCCACAAAGAACACATTTGGGGCCACTTTTCAGAGTTGGCAACAGTCTCTGCTTTTGAAGGAAATCATATGGACACAAATAAAGCCACAATGGATGAAGGGCTCGGAATCCCCAGGGCCCAGAAAGAAAATGCATGGGCCTTAAATTCCAGGTCATCAGTTAGATCCTGGCCTGGGCCCAAGAATCATCCCAATTGTAACCAGGTTTGGTTACTTGATTAAATTTGGTTGAAACGAAAACAAATTGGGAAAAGGTTATATTTTCTTGTTGACTAGACCTCTTTTTTTTTTTTTTATTCTCACCTTGAGGACATGCTTTCATTGATTTTTAGGGAGAGAGAGAGAGAAACATTGATGTGGGAGAGAAATATCGATCGATTGCCTGCTGTATGCACCCCGACCAGGGATCAAACCTGCAACGTAGGTATGTGCCCTGACCAGGAATTAAACCTGCAACCTTTTGGTGCATGGAACAATGCTCCAACCAACCAAGCCACCCAACCCGGGCTAGAACTCCTTTAGAAAAAGAAAAAAAAAGGAAGAGGAGGAACAACTAGAAACTATTCAAAACACCCTTTGGGATGATAAAATGATTCCTAAATTTCAGATTATTCTAGGTCTAAACAATCAATCTTTAAGTCCAGTACCTTTCTCTGCCATTTGCATGTAAATTATCATAGCTGCTTTCATATGTTTAGAAGTTATTTCAACTGGATTTGAATCTTTGTGTATGTTTCTTAGTAACCTTGGTTTTTTAAAGGTGGAATAGATATCAGGACTTAATGAAGTCCTGTTACTGAAGATTTTGAAACAGTCTGGTCAGCCGCTTGCTAGTGGTGTTATAAAGAGGATTTAAATACTAGACTAGCAATTGTATTGGTTAGTTTTGAAGATTTCATCTTCACCTAAAATTCTGTGCATTTTGCACAAGAAGGTTGCGGATTTGATTCCCAGTTGCGGCACATGCCCGGGGTTGCAGGCTTGACCCCGGTAGGGAGCATGCGGGAGGCAGCCAATTGATGTTTCTACAAACTCGCACATCGATGTTTCTGTCTCTCTCTCTCTCTCTCTCAAATCAATTTGAAAAACATCACAGAAATCTATGCATTATGAATCAGTCCCCTTCACCTGTCCTTTTTTCAATTACCTTGATTTGGGGTATTTTCAGCCATTTAAGGTAATACCTGTCAGCTAGTTTCACCCGTATGCAAGAAAACATTGACCACCTTTGTTAACATTCTGCTTTATTTTTTTTAGGTGGTTGAACACACACAATTAAGTTGGATCCTTACCTGCATGGTCAGACTACCCCGATTGCAACATTTACACCAGTGGAAGGTAAATGCCAGTAATCCGATGAACAAACAGCATTACAGCTATCCCCTCCCCCGTTTATTTCTGTGGTAGACTCTGGGAATCCCAAGTTCACTGCCTTCCTGGTCTGCTGCTCACTGGTGGCTAGAAGAGCTGTCTTCAAACTCTCTGCCTCAGGGTATAAATGGAAATTAAAAGGGTTCTCTAAGATGCCTTCCAACTTAAAAACTGGATAAAAATAACCAACTTACTTGATTTGATCTCTGTGTGGTTGAATCAGAGTGACTTTTGGATAGTCTTGGTAATGACTGAACCTACCACATGGCACCTAACAATCCCGATCTCTGGACTGCTGGGCTCGGAGGCCGTCCCGCTGGCACTGGACTGAACTGGCAGCGAGGCAAGAGTGTTTTCGTTGTGGGGGGGGCACGGCATATTGTATTTAACATTAAACGAGTTGAGTCCAGGCAACACTTCAAACCCACAGAAAATTTAAGGCTGTACTTTTTCTTAGAAGTTCAACTAAGAAAGATAAATTGGATAACTCATAATACTTTACTTCTATTTATTTTTGCAATTGGAGAACCCAAGGGTAGATAGCCCCTGACTACGTCAAGGCAAATGCAGTTTCAAGCTTCTTCCCAGCATGCTGGATCAGAAGCCTTTGCACGCGCTGCAGAGATAAACAGGCAGAGCTCGGGAGGGACAGTGCCTCAGTGAAAGGTACTGGATGCTGCAGGATCATTATCTGACAAGAATGCCAAACACTTTTGTAATGCTTTCTACCACGTTTTGGTTTTAGGCAAGACTTCCCCAGTTTATCATAGTACTCTAGCATGCAATTGAATGCTGAAATCCTTTTCATGAGAACTGACTACTAATCAATGGGTAATGTTCCTACTTTAAAATAGTGTCTAAGGGCCTTCTAATTACACAACATAGTGAATACCATGATGATATTCTGGAGAAGTCCCCACTAGCCGGTAATTTTTTATGTGTGGGAACAACATGGATTTCAAATGCCAGCCTTTAACGAATACTTGTGATGCTTCTGCAAGTCTCCCGTCGCGTGAGGTGCTGGAGGTACGGCAGTCACCAAGACAGATGGACACAGCCCTTTCATGGGCTTGTAGTTTGTTCAAGAAAAGGCAATTAAACAAGTAATCAGAAAGTGTGGAAGAAAAGAGGGAAGGTCCCAGTGCCGTGGCAAGATCTCAGAGCACCTAGCTCGGTTTTGATTGGTGCTGTGAGGGGTGGGACAGTGGGGTGGGAAGGTGGGGTCAGGGCTGCTGAGGTCAGGGTTATTTGGAGGATTAATGAGATAACACAGATGTAAGGCATCTGGGGTTGATAATAGGCACTCAATAAATATTAGTGGTTTCTACATCTTTCCCTTTTCTTTGTAATTTCAAGATTCAGTATTCTAATATAAAAAGACTATAAATCTGATGCAGTAGCAATTTTTAAAAATTGAGTTCTTTTCCCATTTGCTCATTTCCAAATTAAACTTTCTTTATCTTTACCCAGCGGTCATTGTGAACCGGCCTTTATCATGGATGTCTTAAGTAGGAGATGTGCTGGAGGAATTGTGTGTTCAGACTTTCAAATTTCCTTTGAATGGCCTCTAGCGTTAGTAAGCCCAAAACTCCTGGAAGTAACCGGAAAAGTTACATTTGTAAGTGAATTATGAGAGCGAAGCTTTTGCTGTTAAGGCCCCAACTCAAGGGGTGCGCCCGCATGTTGGTGGGGGAAGGCCAAGTTGTGAGCACGTTGAGCTTGGTCCTTGGGATCATGCAAATCCATAAATTCAATTGTTCATTTCATTCAGAAATAACAGGACCTCTGAGAAGTGATTCATAGTAACTAAACAAATGAGATTTGTCTACACACCAAAATACCTATTTATCATTTTACATGCACTGAGATACCTAGGCCGTGGAAGCACTGACCAGTGAACTGCACATGGTATTCCCTGCAAATAAGTAGCTCTACTCAGAACCAAATGACCTGTCCGCACTGTTGAACTGCAGCAGGGAGCTGGTATCACTAGGGCTTATATTCGGCGGGTATACACTAGTAGTTTACAGTTGGCACCCACTGCTCACCAGTTACTAAATATTTCTGATGTTGCCTGGCCAGTGTGGCTCAGTGGACTGAGCGTCACCCCATGGACTGAGAGGTCCTGGTTCGATTCCTGGCCAGGGCACATGCCCGGTTGTTTGCTCGATTCCTAGTAGGAGGTATGCAGGAGGCGGCCGATCGATGTTTCTCTCTCTCTCTCTGAAGAAATCAATAAAAACATATAAAAATATTAAAAAAAATAAATAACGAAATCAGTATTTCCGATGTCACCTTTGGTGTTTCCGTCAGGATCCCCAGTAAGGAAGTATTCTGGTCTGTCCGCCTGTCCTGGGCATCGGAACCATTTCACTCGCACTGTCTTAGCACCTGCAGATCAGTACGGGAGTTAGGGCTGGTAGATTAACATTTCTCTTCGTTTTATCTTTTAAATGCCATGGTTTTCTTTGTTGTTTTCTTAAATGTGATTGTAAGGGAACATTCCAGTGTTGCCATCAGCGTTTGATGTCAACTCATGTTAATTTATAGACATTTAATTTCACGACATTTTCTGATCTTACCTGTGCAATTGGGAGTGATCTGACTTGAAAACTGGAACACTCTTATGTCCTCACTTTCATAAAATGAATGTGAAACAGTGGGGGGGGGGGTCGACTCACCTTATCGCTGCCTCAGCCTGGAGTGTGAAGACAAGCCAGCCCGAAGGCTCCAGTGGCTCAAAGGAACGAGATGCAATGTTATTACAGGTGGCTTCAGATTACCCTGTGCTTGCTTTAAAGGTTTCTTCATTTAGCAGTGCAATTCAGTTCATCTCGGATTTCTTTCCCTCTCTTTGCACCCCCACAGGCAAAGACGGCCAAGCAGAAGCACGATGGAACGGCGGGCCTGCTCACGTACCCGGTGCTCCAGGCCGCTGACGTTCTGCTCTACAAGTAAGGAGCAGGGTCCACCCGGTCTTGTCCATACTCATGCTGAGAGGAGGATGTTTTAGCCTCTTCCCAGTATATTTGGTCCACAGGGAAAGGGGACGTAGAAAGGGTCAGACACGTGAATCAGTTTGCATCTATTCCCGGGAACAGATACTAAATTCTGGATGTATGTTCCAAGGAGAAACTAACAGTATTAAGGGCTAACAGTCAAGTCGCACTTAGGTGCTGGAGACTGTTATGAGTGCTTCACATACACTAACCCATTTAGTGCTCACAGTACCTTAGGAAAGTTGTGCTATTACCATCCCCATGTTACAGATGAGGGAGCTAAGGCACAGAGTGCTTTGTGACTTGCCCAGAGTCATGTAGCTAGCAAAGCTTGTCATGTACTGGGGATTTGGGTACAGAGTTTGTGCTCTCAACTACTCTGCAGTACAGACTTTCTCAGTAGAAATGAAATTTCAAGAGTTTTAAATGTTGATTTCTCATGTAATCTAGATTCTAAAGCAATGCTGTTCAATAGAACTTGCCTGCAATTATGAAAATGAATCTGCTTTCCATGACCGTAGCCACCACCTACATGTGAGCTATTAAGCACTTGGAATCTTTTCAGAGGAACTGAATTTTAAATTTATTTAATTTGATTTTTTAATTGATAATTAAAGAGAGAGGATGGGAGAAAGAGAGAGAAACATCGATGTGAAAGCGAACCATCAATCTGCTGCCTGCTGCTCGCCCCCTACTGGGGATCAGGCTGGAAACCCAGGCGCCTGGAGATCAAACCCGCAACCTTTCAGTGCACAGAACAACGCCCAGCAACTGAGCCACACAAGCCAGGACAAATCTTATTTAATTTTAGTGAATTTAAATTTAAATAGCTACCTGTGGGTAGTGGCTACTATATTGGATCTGTAGGTTGAGAGCAAGATTTCAGCATGATGAATCGTGCCCTCATTCTTTCTGGACCTGTAATCCAGCTAGTCAGCTACTGTTGCCATTTATAGGCCTCAAACTATGTACCCAAAGGATGCTGACCTCTGCACTCTGAACTGCTGGCCAGGGCTTCTGACCCATCCCTTTCCCGGTTCTTCCTTGCTATACCACATGACCTTCCGCCTGCCATCTGGCCTTCTAGGTCATCATGTGTACATGGCCACACCTTGCTACTGAGAAAGCTTTTGAGGAAAAAGAGAAACTCAGTTAGTTTTTTCACCCCTTTGCCCCAAAGCCTCCATCCCATAACTGATTCTTCCCTCGGAGAACAAGCATTGTCTGCCTGTAAGTGTGATAACTGAATGGAGGTGACAGTGTGTGTGCCTGTGGCTTGACCCCGGAGCCTGTGCAGGTGTGGTGGAAAGAGCCAGAAGTGGAGCTGCTTAGCTTTGCAGACAAGGAATGTCCAGCATCCCATGCAGGCTATCTTTAACCTGATTAAAACCCAGATACAAGGAGTATGCGTCTGTTGTGTTGACTTGAGAGCTGGGCTCCTGGTAGCATTTATTATTGGTTATAAGTGATTTTTGACTTATCCTGGAAAGTCTAGAATACTTTACCCCAGGAACAGCAGGTGAAAGTCTAATAAAGATCCAATCATTTATTTCCTAGCCAAGTAGCGTATTTATTTAGAAAGGTTCTGTAAAGAACCTTGATTTCTGATCTGTAAAACAGGAATGGTAATTGTCCTGCCCAGAGTTATCCAAGGGTTAAAATGAAGTATGGGCCAGGCAGTGCTGTGACTTGGAGCCGTCACTTGGTTATGATCGATGATAGTTATGTTTTGTTTTTTTTAATTAATTCATTCATTTTTGTTACAGATGTTTTTCCTTTTTCCCCCACTGATTCCCTGCCCTGTCTCCCTGTCCCCCTCCCCGCCCTGTCCCCAGCTTTGTTGTCCATGTCCATTGTTCATGCTTACATGCATATAAGTTCTGTGGTTTATCTCTCTCCCACCACCCCCTCTTTTGGGGATTGTCAGTCTGTACCCCACTTCCACGTCTCTGGGACTACCCCATTCCTCAGACTGTTATGTTCATTATATCCCACAAATAAGTGAGATCATATGATACTTGTCTTTCTCTGTTTGGCTTGTTTCACTTAGGATGATATTTTGCAGGTCCCTCCATGTAGTCTCAAAGGATAAGAGATCTTTCTTTCTTACAGCTGCGTAGTACTCCATTGTGTATATATGTACCACAGCTTTTTTATCCATTCATCTACTGATGGACACTTGGGCTGTTTCCAGATCTTAGCTATTATAAATAGTGCTGCTACAAACATGGGGGTACATATATTCTTTCTGATTGGTGTTTCAGGCTTCATAGGGTATATTCCTAGAAGTGGGATCACTGGGTCAAATGGAAGTTCAATGATAGTTATGTTTTTGACGGTAACAGTCTTATATCTAATTTTGTTTTCTTTTCCTTTTTAAATATTTTTTTTTCCTTTATTGATTTTAGAGAAAGAAGAAAGGAGAGGGAGAGACATATAGAAACATCGATGAGAGAGGACATTGATTGGCTGCCTCCTGCATGCCCCGCTCTGGGGATTTGGCCCACAACCTCGACATGTGCCTTGACTGGGAATCGAACCAGCAACCTCTTGGTACATGGGTCGACGCTCAACCACTGAGCCACACCAGCCAGGCTCTAAATTCATTTTCAGAGGCTACTTTCTTACAGAACAACGGGCTGAGATGTTTAGCACCAGGGTACAGAAGCACATGAGCACGGCAGGTTTCCTTCACAGTTCAAGAGCTGTCGTGGAAAGCCCTCCGAGGTCAAGGCTGTGCAAAGGGTCAAGTTTAACAGAAAAGCTTGTCCTCCTTGTGATACCATGGCGTACAGCGTGGGAAGGAGCTCTAGAGGACCTCTTCAGTTCCCTTGCTTTACCAGCGCGGCCTGACGAGGTCGAACAGTTTCCCCAAAGCTGCGCAGCCAGTCGGAGGACACTGCGGTCTCTGAGCGCGATTCTGGTCCCCCAAGGCCAGTGCTGACCTGTAAGGAGCCAGCAGTTCTGGCAGGAGACAAGGTCACCACAGGGACAACCAGAACAGCCCAAGGCCATACATGCTAAAGTGCTGATGGATTTACTGTTATCAAGTGCCCAAAATACAGTTAGCGAAATGATAAAATACTCCTGTTTCTCTCCCCTACAAAGTGGGTTAATGGGACATACAGCTCAGGGAGTTATGAAACAAATGTTGTATGAATTGAAATGCAAACATTTTAAGACTGCAAGAGCAACATTGGAAAAGGCTTAAATTGGCAAAAATAGTTCCTTAAGATCCCAAATATGTACATATTTACATATAAATGTTTTATATATAAATATTTTAATATAAATATTTCTATATATTGTAAATATGTTACATGTTATATAGTTCTTTATATAGATGTCATATATTATATATTTCTATATTATATAGCATTATTTTATATATTATATTTACATATCAATAGATATATAATAATAATTTCTATATGTAAATATAGAACTATTTTTTATGTATTATAAACATATAAATATATTTTCTATACTCTGCCTTTTTTCAAGCCATGCCTCAGGTTGTGAGTGTTCTTTCTTAACACAAAAAATAATTATTTCAGATGTGGCAGGTACACACTAAGAGGTTTCGGATAGCTTCCAGCCTGCCCAGTACTGGCAGGTTCTCCCCCCACTGGTGAATGTTTCTGAGGAAAAGCATTCCTTCCCAGCCTCAGTTATCCCCTGGCCCACTCCCGGTAGCAAAAAACTCCCCTGCTGGAAACGGTCCTTCTTTAACTCTGACTGATCTATTTGCTGGTTAGCACGTGTACTAAGAATGGCATAAGGTGCCTTTCTTTCTCCTGTGTTTTTTTTTTTTTTTTAAAATCCTCACCTGAGGACATTTTTTCATTTTTTGTTCAGATAGAGTGGGAGGGAGAGAGAGGAAGAGAGAGAGAAACATCGACGTGAAAAGGACACATTGAGTGGCTGCCACCAGCATGACCAACAAGGGCCAGGGACAAACTGCAACCGAGGTACATGCCCTTAGCAGGAACCGAGCCTGGGTCTCTCTGGACCACAGGCCGACGCTCTAACCACTGAGCAAAACCAGCCAGGGCTCTCCTATGTTTTAAAAGCTGAATTATGGTAGCTGATTTTTATTTATTCCCATGATATTTTACATACAATTTGTTAAAATAAATAGATAAAAGTATTTTTTCTATGAAACTGGATAATTATCTATAGTCAGTTATCTATAGGAGACTGTCTCCTACCTTAGCCTAGGGAACTACCTACTGTAATGCCGTATTAGGTCATAGACATGGAGCAGACACCTACACGCTTATTTTCTTAAGGGAAAATATCTCTACGTGTCCCTCCTGTCTGGTCTCAGGCCGGACCTCCTGCTGCTGGCTGCACATGCTCAGCTCATAAACTGTTCCTTTGGGCTCTGTTTTCCTGCTGTCTTCTGTCAGACTGTCCCCATAGGAGCCATTGCCACACCACACGTAGCCACATTTCCTGGGCAAGTGTGTCGTGTGGACCACTACAGAGTGTGCAGACAAGTGCAATAAAATCAGCTCTGGCTCACTACAGCATTTATTCTGCTAACACACTTCTCATCTGTTTCATTATGCTTCCTCCCAAGTTTAGAAATTCCTACCTGCTTCGTAATAAGTAGCAGAGGCAGGATTCACACCCAGGTCTGGGTTTTAGCCTGTGGCATTTTTGTCCTCTGTAACAGAGCTTAAGCACTTGGGGTATTTTTGGTTTGATTCTGGTTCCAGTATTGCTGGATTTTTGGAAAAGGCCATAACCTGAATGTATGTGAATATTTACATTATAAATGTAGATAGATTTTTAAAAAGCAAAGATAGATAGATACATGTATAGATGCATTGAAAAAAATACTTGAATTGTCTCCTACCAGCAAATCTATATGTGGCCTCTTCATAAAATGTTCATGCAAGGGAAGTACAGAGTCAGTGTTTGCCATTGTCCAAGTCGGCATTAGAATG